TAAATAATTTATATTAATGATATTGATGACTTTTTATGGTTGATAAAATTGTACTTTTCTTTGAATAGAGAAGATTAGGGAATATGGGACAGCTATATGTTTGCATGTATCACTTGCATCCATAGATAGATAATGCATTTTAGGAGTTATTCAACAACTAAAATAAGCTAAATCTTGTTTTCAAAAAAATAAAATAAAAATAAGCTAAATCTACAACACAAGAAGAAAAAAGAGAAACATATAATACATGAACCATAAGTCTTTATATAACTCCTGAATAACAAATATTGTATGAACTATAAGACTCTATAATAAAATGTCTATAAAATATAATTATTTTTTTTCGTATTTATTCTGTAAGACTTAACTATACTAAATTTTTAAATTACATATAATTCTAAAAAAAATTGCTCTTTAGGAAATGTTCGCTAATTGTACATTTAATAATACAAAAGTAAAATTTGTTTCTATTTCGGGTTCTACATCTAAAGGAGGAGTTGTAGATGTTGGTTTATTGGAGAGTCGTATTTACAATGTGTCGGGTAAGTTTTGACAAGTCCAAACAAATTTAAGGTGTTATATCACTAAATACAAGGCATCACCGTTCATGAACACTTAGTGGCATTCAAATTGGGAAGTATCGATCAGGATACAATTGGTTGGAGGCACTGGTAAAAGCAAGTATCAATATTCATTTTACAGCTTTTTAAAAATTTAAGTGGTACATAATTCATGTTCCCCTTATATGCGTTTGTATATAATTAAATTATCGTTCATGTGAAGAGATCAGTATGATATTTTTGTACAAATTTTTTTAATGAAACTATCAAAAAGGACACAAAAGAGTATTGAGCTAGGAACATAGTTATTAACTGATGTCACAATCGCGACCACCCATGTGGTCCCAAAACCGATGTCAAAAACGTTTCCGGTCTAACAGACAAGTGTCAAAGAGTTAGAAGACAAAAAAAAAGTAAACATAATTTTCTTTGGTCCGATACCAAATTACACTTAAGACAATAGTATTCTTGTACAAGGTGCGGTCAACTACCTAGTACTGATAATGTCAGCAACGACATTCCTTGAAAAAATAATACATAAACTAAGCCGGTTAAATCGATTTGAAATTAACCGGTGTAATCTTGTTGATGATTAAATCGGTCATGACGGCACGACATTATGTAAGTCACCGGTGTATTCTTTATTCACTTAACTGTTTTTAATTTATGGTTTCACCTTCACAGCATGTCTTTTTGGTAAAATACAATAAATTTTTGTTGTCACAGTATTTGTTTTCACAATATATATTTGTTTAAATATTATATATTAATCTTTCTAAAGATCATCTGTGCACCAAAATCTATACACGAATCCAAACTATATGTAGTCAAGCATTGCACGTTGTTTCAAAACTGTAGGTATGATTGATTTTTGCGGGATTATTATGCCCTATATATTAACAGAGAAAAAATTTAAAAGTTATAATTTGTAATTTGTACTAAATAAAAAATGTTTTGCTGAGTTGTCCCGTAGTTGAAATGCTAATTTCGTTTACGTAACGGTTTGAGAATCAATTGAGAATTTTATTAGTCTAAAATTAAATTTCTAAATAATATTATATTATACTGTATGTTCATTATGACCATTCATTTATCAAATAGAAATTTATTATATATGTTTTTCTAAAATAAAACCTACGAAATTACCTAATATAATTAAGATATATATGACAATTAATGACTTTAAATAATAAAGGTTTGTTAACAATCTGTCATTTTTAATTCTTTATTATTTAAATAAATTACATAATTACATTAATACTATAATAAAAAGTTATTTTTTTGGTATATGTTGTATTTTGAATTTTTCAAAACGAGTATAAATTACTACAATTATAAAAAAGTCCCATATAAACTTTTGTGATCAAGGTTTAAATATTTTTTCTATAATAAGATACAATGATTATAAAATCAAATGAATAAATAATTTTATTTTAATAGGTGTTTACGTTAATATATATATATATATATATATATATATATCATTTAAATTAAACTATACAACATATGAAAATACATACTTATATTTTGATATTTGCATTAAACATATATTGAAAATTTAATATTTTACTTTTGAAATTTTCATTTTTTTTTAAATGATTATAAATTATTTAAACCACTAAACATTTCATATTAAAAGAAAATCATTGCTCTAACTTTTTTTTACATAAATATGCAAATAATATAAAATCATATGAGTAGAAACATCATTTAGTAAATATTCATATTAAAAGTATATTATATATTTATGTTAATATCATTTAAATTTAATTATATATCATATACGATAGATAAGATCGATTGTTTTGATTTATATACCCTAAAATTATTGCGAATAAACAAGAGCGGCCGTTTGATTTATATGCGCACGCCAACTTATTACATAATAGTAACTGATTTATTAGTTATTAAATATATAATATAATAATTATTTTACTATTTCATAATATGCAGAAAAAATAAAATAAGTCAGAAATATAAAATATTTATTTTGTACAAGCGCGGAGCTTAACTTAAGTATATACTTCTTTGATAATTTGAAATATTAAACATTTTCTAAATCTAAGGCCAAAATAAAAGAACGAAATGAGAATAAACTCAAAATTTAATATTTATATCGAGAAATAACCAAAATGAAAAAGAAGTGACAAACAAAATTGAAGATAGTTAAGATTGGTACGTGAACGTAAACTTCTAATAACGGAAATTAATTTTTAAATTGCTAAATCTTGATATAAAATCGAGTTGGCATAGTTTCATTCTAACCAAATAGTAGACCTCAGATTGTTCGGCCTAAACGTTAGGTTCTTATGCGATAAGTGATTTTTGACCTAAAATATTTAAACCTTCGTGTTATTAAACCTTCAGGATATTAAAACCGGTAATCTCTATAATACTATTTGAGAAGTCAGTTTCCTACGTGTCGCGCTCACGCTAACTTTCGCGATGGTGGATTACAAAGATACCTTTAATGAATTGTTACATTTAAAGATTTTATTTATTTATTTAGTTTTTTTTTTACTTTTTTACCAATAACATATATAATAAAAAGAAACATTTATTAAGTCATAAAACAGATTTAAAAATAAAAATAGATGTATCTAATATGATTTTATTAAAAAGGAAAGTTCACAAAATAGTAATATTCCTTTTAAAACATATTTTAAATAACAGAAAATATATTTTGAAACTAATAAAAATACATCTGTTCATGAAAATAATAAAAATATACCAGTTACACTTTATTTTATAATATGTTTTACAATTCAACATATAACTTGATAAATATTATGAAAATAAATGTATATTTAAGCGATAAATAAAACAAATTTGATTTAACTAAAATAAAAAGAAATTATACTTCAGTTTAATTTAAAAATATATTTAGCTCAATATACTCACAATATGAGTGACTCGACTAATCTACATTATATCCAAAATTAAAGATCTAACTACAATAAGAATATATAATCTTATAACAATAATAATCTATTTATTTATACATATAAATTACAGGTTGATTCCAAACATATTAAAAAAGAAACATAAAATATTAACATAAAATATTAACCAATTGAAGTTTAGTTCTTTTGTATAATTTATATACTTGCATGAGACTTAAAAATATTATTATTATATTCATTTATGTAATTTTGAATCAAACACTTCAACTTATTATTTATAGCATTTTAAGCATAATATATATTAAGTTATACATAATAACTATAATATATTTACATTTATAAGAAATAAATAGCCTAAATGAAAATAAGAAAATTAATCAAAATTTTATTATATTAAGAATAAAACATATTATAGTTGAATTCGAAAAATAGATATTATCCAATATACAAAATTTATAACCAAATCGACTACTGATCCAAAAAATAATCAAACCTACTATAATATATCTAAACTCATATCTCTAATTAGAATAGTATAATATTTATTAATATAAATTATACATATAAATTGATTCAAAATCATAATTAGATATCAATTAATTATTATAACAGTTTACTTTTATAAATCATACCCGTGCATGAGCACGGGAATATCACTTAATTATTTATATTATTAGATCAGATGGTGTGATGGATTAGAATTGATATTTTGTGTTTTGCTATTTTTTCACGAGCCGTTTTGTCAAAACATGCAACATATATAAAATCACTTCTATGCAGGTTTAAAGGACCATTTAGCCAGTTTGGATTATAAATGTTAATCACCAAAAGATTCCTTAAACCATCTTTAATATAAAAGATTAAAATGATTCAGACTAATGTGAGACGACCAACGAATTGATGCTCTCATTTTGACTATAATTACTTTTACATGAAATATTTATAGTATAAAAATGCTAAATATTAATATAATTGTTCAGTACACAATTATAAGTTATTACGTACCAATGTAAGAAAGTTTAAACTTATATTACATAGATTTTATAATACTTTTTGTACATGGAATCTTTCAGGACTTTTTGTTGTTGTTATATTATATCGGTTTCTTACTTTACATGTTCTGTTTCTTGCAGCTTTGAGTGAAGCTATAGACATGTAAGTACAATCTGTAGCAACTATATCTGATTGGTACGAATATGGATGCAGCTATAGCGAATGGATTGATGAGTGTGAGAGGGTTAGCACTGTGGAAGATGATGTTGAGCAAGAAGAAGAATTAGAAGCTGAAGAAGAAAAAGTATATGAAGAAGAAGAGGATGAAGATGGCCGTGTGTCTGTCAAAAGGAACTTTAACTACAGAGGATAACCATGCAAGTCCTTTTAGACATTGCCTTTGTATTGTAATATAAATTCTATCTGAGGACATTGCAAGAACAATCTCTAGTGTTTTCTCAGTGTCTGATAGACAGAACAACAGTTTGTGATGAATTAAAGCCTTTGCCAAATCTGTTTTGATCGAGAAGCTGAATTCATTCCCTTACTCGTTATTTAGCACCCTTGTCTCCTGTTTTACATTTGATGAATCAGTGATTTCGGCTCTGTACACATAAAACTTGGCAACCATCAAGAAAAGGATAAAGTTAACCAAGTTTATAGCCGCAAAGAGCATGTAATAGTGATCCAACCGAGACTCATTCAAGTTGTTTAGAATCCATCCTCTTCCCTGATTCTTCGTTACTCGTGCCACCGTCGAAAGCAAAAAGCTACTCATGAAGTTCCCGGCTGCTAAACTCGTTGTCATATACGATGTCCCAAGGCTTTTCATACTCTCAGGTGCTTGATCATAGAAGAACTCAAGCTTTGCTACTTCCATGAAAGTATCAGCCAAACCCATTAGCACAAACTGTGGAAGCAACACGAAAATGGTCAAGGGAAGCGGTACAGCGGTCTGGTGGACTAGACCGTGGTCAGCAGCGAACTTGAGCCTATACCGTTCTGTTACTGATGCAATGATCATGATCAAGATGTGGAGGATGATACCGATTCCCATACGTTGAAGCAGTGTGATGCCTCTTGGGTTTCCAGTTAGTTTCCGTGCGAGTTTGACAAAGATTTGGTCGTATATGACTATGGTGACGAGCATGGAGAATGTAGTGAAGCCTACAAGACTTGCGGGTGGGATGCTGAAATTGCTAGTGATGTGACGGTTGAGGAGGGTTCCTTGTTTGACGAATAAAGTGATGACTTGAGCGAGCATCATGCTTGGGACAAACGTTGTGAACAAAACAGGTAACATTCTTAACATTTGTTTTGTTTCTTCTACTTCTGTTATAGTGCAGAGACTCCATTTATTGGTTGGTCCGGTCTTGAGTGAAGCTCTGTCTAAGAATCTGCAGCACATAGTTATATCTTTAGTCTAATGAATGTAACCAAACAAAACGAAACTCATTCAACTAGGCTTGGACACAAAAATCTGAAACCCAAAATTCAAACAGAATTTGGACCCAAAACTTCCATATCCAACTCGACTTTAAGGAGTACCCAAATAGATTCTGTAAGGTGATATAAAAATATATCTACACTAAAAGTATTATTGACCAATTCGAATAACTTGAAAGTTTGAAAATCCGAAAGAAACTGAAAACACTTTAAAAATCAGGTTAGTATCCTGAATAAGTACTCTAAATACTTAATTTAATATTTATTTTTAATATGATATCTAAAACCATCTAAACCTGATATGACATTATCTGACTTTAAAATGAGTGTGGATCTAAATGGATCCGAAATGGATCCTAAAGAAAATAATAAAATATATCTGAACCAAAATATTATTACCAAATAAAGTATTAGTAAACAAATTCTACTCAAACATGTATGAAACGTAAATAGAACTTAGAAGGATAAACCCAAAAATTAGATTCAAACTTGAACGTACATGCCTGCATTAAATATCCGAATGAATATCCTAACCGAACTGGACCAAATACACATTCGTTACCTTAGACTTCTTGTTGGGTGGATTGGGAATGTTCTCTTGTTCTCATATTCCAACAACGGGAGCTCATGGAAGCATGTGGGATCACATGATATAGGCGCTTGAGCTTTACGAAGCGAAGCCACAATGACTCTAGCCATCTTTGTGAATGGGCTTCCTGTGGGGTGTTTATGACGGTAAAATGGAGTACCTATCAAGAATATGATAATGGAAATCGCAAGCCCCAATGTTGGAAGCCCATAACCTAAGGCCCATCCTATATTATCTTGAACATAAACAAGAACGGTTGTGGCAAAAAGAGTACCAAAGAAGATACTAAACATCCACCAATTGAAGAATGAATGTTTATGAATCTTCTCTTTTGGATCAAAGACATCAAACTGATCAGCTCCTATTGTAGAAATGTTTGGTTTGGTGCCTCCTGTACCAATTGCTAATATGTATAGTGCTCCAAAGAAAACGGTTAGTTGTAAAACCGAAGCCTTTTCGCAGTCTTTAACATTAGTTTTTGTACATTTCGGTGGCCTAAGATTCGGTAGCGATACTGATAATGTCAGCAATGCCATTCCCTGGAAATGATACATAAATTAAACCGTTAAATCAATTTGAATTTAACCGGTGTAATCTTGTTGCTGATTGAGATGTTGATTGTTTGCAGTTTTTCAAGTAGTTTTTAGTTTTTGTTTTTTCAAAAACTATTTTTCTTCCGATCAAGATTTTGAAGAAATAGATTTCCTAAATTGTAGGAAACCCAGTTTTTGAAATACTGTTCATTTTCAAACAAAAACCAAAATCCAGCTTTTTCTAGTTTTTGGCTTGAAGATAATTTTACATTTGTGATTATTAAAAATATCAGCTAATGAACATACACGTAGGACATGAAGAAATTTGAAATGTATTATCATCCAATTAATATACGCCAGTTTTTAGTTTTGTTGCTTATCACATTCATATACGTCACTTGTTTCTTGTTTTTAATTTTTTTTTATTAAGATTAATTGTACTAAAACTATTACAATATATGAATGATATTTCATTTAATGATAAACTGATGTTCACATTTTTCGCTTTAATATAGTAAACTACGAAATAACTCATTAAATGTTTAATTATTAATAAAATAATAATTACATATTAATATATATAAAATAAAGAAATATTAAAACAAGATAATAAATTGTTTTTTCTTTAAAAAACATTTTTCAATTTCTTTTATAAAACAATTTTTATAAAAAGGTTTAGAAAAGACTTCTAGGATATTTTCTTGATTTGTAAAGAAACTTCTAATTTATAATAATGCATTTCTAAATTTGATTTATATACATATTTAAATATTTATAATATTTTAATAAATATGTTTATGTGCTTAATTTTCTGATATTATATCATATTTTTAATATTATAAAATAATTACTTTTACAATTAGTAATATTTTTATGTTACTAGTTTAAAAACAAAGACCAAAAGCTGAAATTCAGAATCTATTTACCATTCATGCTTTTTGCAAAAACTAAAATCTACTGCAAAAGCAACCAAAAACTAAAATCTAAAACTAAAAACTAGAATCCAAAAACTAAAAGCTAAAAACATGAAAACAATCATCACCTGAACCGGTCATGACGGCACGACATTATAGTCACCGGTGTATTGTTTAATCAGTTAACTGTTTTTAATTTGGGTTATGGTTTCACCCTCACAACATGTATTTTTGGTAAAATACAAAAGGATTTGATTGTGACAATATACAATATATATATATATATATATATATTTAAAAATTCAATATATTAATCTTTCTAAAGATCATCTATACACGAAATCCAACTATATATAGTCAAGCATTGCACGTTGTTTCAAAACTGTAGGCTATGAATGATTTATGGAGGATTATTATTGAACTTGTTTGATAAAATATAGGAGAATGTCGTTTATTCTCTAAAATTTACCATTCAATATCAAAACTATGAAGTCCTTGAGCAAAAATTTTTTTTAAAAATTATACGTACCAAAAAATAAATAGCGGAAGAGATGACAAAAGTAATGTAGCGACCGAGATGAGCGTCGGCAACATAAGCACCCAATATTGGAGTGAGCCAACTAGTCCCAACCCAATTGGTCACATTGTTAGACGACTGGACCGTGCCTTCGTGCAATTTGGTAGTCATGAATATCACTAGATTGCTCGATATCCCGTAATAAGCCATTCTTTCAAATATCTCGTACACTAAACATTTAACATTTCAAATATCAGCCACATAAACATTGTAATTAATCATATAATATCACGTAGATATCTAAAGTTAAGCGAACTAATAACACATACCAATGACGAAGGAACAAGCTTTCCAACGACCTCTTTGGGATCTTCGGACAGGATTGCCTCGAAGATCAACAGTTCCATCTTTTGTGTAATCATCTCCTTCCTCTTGTAATGTCATTTCCTCTCTCCCCTTCTATCTTTTTTTTTGCTTGAGAGTTGTTACTTGGTTTCATGTATATAGAGAGAGGAAATGAGGAATGAGTCACATATATTATCTTAATATTTAGATAAGTTGCTGAATAATCACTAATCCTTGAATTAGTCACATGCCTTCTACGTTTATTCTTGATTATTATTTGGAAACAAACTTTAATCAATATTCTATTACTAAAAGTACTATTGAAAATAAGTGAAAATACTAAATCTCAATGAAATGATTTTGACTAAACATATAACAAAAATGATACTGTAACAGGTGTCAAAACATCATTAGCACTTGAAATTCAAATGAGTCTCTTAAAGTATACTGTATTTATATATAAGAAGACAGCTGTATTAAAATCTCTTAAATATTCAATTTTTTACCACCCAACATATGCCACAAATGTGAGAGAAGATCTTCATTTTATTTTTTTCTTTTTATGATTTTTCTATTTTAATCTTATACTAGGATAAGATCTGCGCCTTTACCATCCAATGCCACGAATGTATGTAATTAAAATATAAAATATTAGTATTGAAAAATTTAAAATTTACATATGATTATTTTTATATGTATTTGAAATTTTAGAATTTTGGAGTTTTTATATAATTATCTATACGTAGAATCAAAAACAAATGTAATTAGAACTGTAGATCAAATCTTAGAATTTAATGGACCCGATTTCATATATCTTTTCACTTTTCAGTGTTCGAGTGATGGGAAATAAACGGAGTGTCACTTGACTTGATTGGTAAAGTATTAGCAAGTTCCCTAATGATTTCTTAAGAAGCAGTTGGTAAAATATTTTGCATTTAAAATATATATAGTTTCAAAACTTTTAATATAATTTATTTGTCTAATAATATTAGAAAAGTATATTTTTACAATTCTTTTAAATAATTTTATAGAAAATTAAGTTGAATTTTAAATTATTTTTAAAAACAATATTTTAAGTTTTTCAAATACAAATAAACAATTTAAAATTAGTTATGGTCATGATTTAGCATAACCATAATAATTTAAAAAATTAAATTTTTAGAAATTAAAAAATTAACTCACTTTTATGTAATGATTTAACAATTTAAAAATTAATTATGGTTATGAGAAGTTTACGTTCACGTGTCAATCCTATTTATCTTCAATTTTTCTCTTGTTGATTTTTTTTTAATTTTGGTTATTACTCGATATAAATATTTCTTTTGTTTGTTTTGGCATGCGATTTAGAAAATACTTAATATTAAAAATAATTAAAGAGATACATACTTAGGTTAAGATCTGCACATGCTCAATAAGCGTTTTATATTTATTATTTATTTTATATTTTTTGCATATTTTAAAATAATAAATATATATATATTAAATAACTAAAAAATCAGTTATTATTATGTAATAAATCGGCGTATGCATATAAATTTAACTTTCATTCTTGTTTATTCACAATTAGAGGTAAATAAATCAAAATAATCAATCTTAGATATTGTATATGATATATAATAAAATTTAAATGATATAAACATAGTAATATAGCACACTTTTAATATGAATATATATTAAATGAGGTTTCTACTCATATGATTTTATGATTATTTGCATATTTGTGTAACAAAACTTTACACTAAGGTTTTTTTTTTAATTTGAGATGTTTAGTAGTTTTAATAACTTATAATCATTTTTAAAAAATGACATATTTCAAAACTAAAATATTAACTTTTGAAAATATCAAAATATAAGTATTTATTTTCATACGATGTATAGTTTAATTTAAACGATATGAAATATATATAAACTAAAATTCTTTCTTCATATGGTCTTATAATTATTATATTTTAATATAAAAAGATTAAAACTTTGATCCTAAAAGTTTATGTGAGACTTTTAGCAGTTTTAGTAATTTATACTCATTTTGAAAAAATCGATACAACATACACAAAAAAAATCTAGATTTTTGTTATATGATTAATGTAATTGTGTAATTTATTTTAATAATAAAAAATAAGCAAAATGATCAAAAGTATACATATTGTTATCAAATTTTATTGTTTAAAATCATTAACTGTCATATATATATATATATTTTAATCACATTAGGTAATTCTGTAGGTTTTATTTAAGGAAAGCATGCAAAACAATAAACATTTGATATATGAGACCAACTAGAGAGTATAAATTTTTAGACTCTATATTATATTACATGCTCTAGAATCCTTTTAAATTGAAATAGAAGACAAAGAGCTATACCACATAGGATTGAAGTTATTTTTAATTATTATAAACTTAAGGTTACAATTTTTTAAATAATTCTTTTTAATATATAGGGGATACCAAAAAGTTGGACAAAGGGGTGAATTTCAAAGACTTTGAGAATCAAATAATTTTTCCTTCTTAAACACAGATAAAATGAAAAATATGAAGTAAATACGTACGTGGAGATAAATAGATTATCACTGAACTTAAACGGAAGAGAAGCACAACATGCAGAGGTATCCAATTTACCGTTAATTCCAGGGCGTTGGTGTTTTATAGATGGTTCTTGAAAAGTTAATGATCGATTTTCAGGACAAAGTTGGTTAAGTATCCTGAAAGATTTTGCTAGTTTGATGGGGGCAAGAAATATCAGAACTAGTCTTTTCCCTCTCCACGTAGAGGTAGAAACACTACTTTGGACAATGGAGTGTATGAGGAATTTGCGTCAATCTCGGATTACATTTGCAACGGATTGTTCTTAACTGGTGAAGAGGGTTTCCGAACCAGAAGAATGACTCGTATTTGCAAGTTATTTGAAGGATATCAAGACCTTCCAAGATGGTTTCCTCAGCTTAGAGATCATTCATGTACCACGAACTCAGAATTTGAGGGTGGATAGTCTAGCACTTAGTGCCAGGATGCAACTATCTTTTATCTTTCATATGAATGCAGAACTACCGATATGGTTCACAGAACCAAGATAATTTGTTTTTTCTAAGCTGATGACATAAAAAAAAAACTGTATCAAAAATAACAATATTTTTTACTCCTTCGGTTAGATCAAAAGTGTCATTTTACACTTTCATACAAATTAAAAAAAAATGAAAATAATTTATGATTTAATACATAGATCTATTTAACTAATAGAATTTGTAAAATAAAATTTCTATTATAAAACTAATGCATTTTAAATTTAAAATTAAATTTAAAATAAGCATTAATTGCATTAAAAATTAAAGTGATACTATTTGTGTAAAGAAAAAAGTGTCAAAAAGACAATCTTTTTTTTTGGTAAAAAAAATGACAATCTTTATGCGAGACGAGACGAGAGTTATCCTCGATACCCATCAGTTTTGGCTCTTCTTCATTCACATCCACTGAATGAGCAACCTCAGCTCTATAAACATAAAACTTAACCACTACCAAGAAGAAGACAAAGTTAACAAAATGAAGAAGTGCAAAGAACAAATCATAATAATCTAACCTAGACGCGTTAAGATTATTCAAAATCCATCCTCTTCCACGTTTTATTGTTATCTTAGAAACCGTGGACAACAAGAAACTGCTTAAGAAATTCCCGATCCCTAGACTTGTTAACCAATACGATGTGCCAAGACTTTTCATGCTTTCAGGAGCTTGATCGTAGAAAAATTCGAGTTTCGCAACTACTAAGAAAGCATCAGCCATACCAATAAGCACGAATTGAGGAAGCAGCACAAAGATTGTCAATGGTAATTTTACGCCCGTGTAGTGAAAGAGCCCATGGTCAGCAGCAAATTTGAGTCTATACCTGTTACCAATAAGCCAAATAAAAAAACTGTGAGGCCACCAATTCAATAAACAAAATGTTAATTACCAAAACCGGTTCTAGACAGCCGGATAAAACAATTGCCTAAACTAAAACTTTTTAGTATCAATTTTTATATTTACCTTAACCATATTTATCCTTGATTCACATTTAGTCATTTACCCTTGATTGTATAAATAGATACTTATAATTCTAGGGTTAATTAATCTAAATTTAGAATTTAGATTTGAGAAAGTTGATTTTTGGAGGGTAAGATTAAAAAATTTAATAAAAATATAATTAAATACTTAAACCTAAAAAAATAGTTTCAAAAAATATTTTCGAATTTGAAAATTAATATCTGAAAAAATTATAAAAAGTAGAAAAAAATTCAAAAATAATTATAAAAAGTATAAAATTTCGAATTTGAAAATTCATAATTGGAAAACTTATATTTTTAATTATTATTTTTATTTATTTAAATAATTATTTATATTTATATATTAAGGGTGTAAATGGCTAATGACATCTCATGTTTAGGTATTTTTGAAAATATCCATTTAGAAAATGTAAACATCAATAATGATACCAAATCTCCTATATGTTAATTAACTGAGAAACATTTGAAAATATTTAATCTTAAATTTGTATTAATTAAAAAATAACTCATAGTACGTGGCATTCTCTATATCTTCTAATTCAATTTAGAAAGATTCTAGAGCACCTTATATAAAATATAGTCTAAAAATTATACTCTCTATCAATATAATATTTCACAGACTATAGTTGGTTGCATATAACAAATATTTATTGTTCCACAACTTTCCTTAAATAAAACCTATGGAATTACCTAATGTTATTAATATATATATATATATGACAATTAAGGATTTTAAACAATAAAGATTTGATAACAGTCTGTATATTTTTTTATCATTTTGTTTATTTCTTCATTATTAAAATAAATTACACATTACATTAATCATATAATCAAAATCTTGATTTTATTTTGTGTATGTTATATTTTTCGAATTTTAACAAGTATAAATTACTAAAACTGTTAAAAGTCTCACACAAGATTTCCTGATCAAGGTTTAAAGTTTTTTCTATATTAAGATACAATTATAATAAGAGCATATGAAGAAATAATTTTATTTTAATAATATATGTACATATATATATATTGTTTAAATTAAACTATACATCGTATGAAAATACATACTAATATTTTGACATTTGCATTGAAAATATATTGAAAAGTTAATATTTTAATTTTAAAATGTGCCATTTTAAAATGATTATAAATTATTGAAACTACTAAATATCTCACATTAAAAAAAAATCGCTGGTGTAAAATTTTGTTATGCAAATATGCAAATAATCATAAAATCATATGCGTAGAAACCTCATTTAATAAATATACCTATTAAAAGTATGCTATATATCTATGTTAATATCATTTAAATTTAATTATATATTATATAAGATTGATTGTTTTGATTTATTTACCCTAACTGCGAATAAACAAGAGTGATGGTTAGATTTATATGCAAACGTCAATTTATTATATAATAATAACTGATTTCTTAGTTATTTAATATATATAGTTATTATTTTATTATTTTATAACATGTAGAAAACATAAAATAAATAATAAATATAAAATACTTATTCTACAAAAAGCGCAGATCTTAACCTAAGTATGTATCTCTTTAATTATTTTAAATCTTATGCATTATTTAAATCTTAGACCAAAACAAACAAAAGAAATGAGAATAAACTTTAAAATCAATATTTATATCGAGCAATAACTAAAATGAAAAAGACACAAAAGGAAAAAATATTGAAGATATATAGGATTGGCAAGTGAACGTAAACTTCTTATAACCATAATTAATTTTTAAATTGCTAAATATGATATAAAACCGAGCTGGCATAGTTTCATTGTAACCAAATAGATTCGAGATTTTTAGACCTAAACGTTAAGTTCTTTGCGGTAAGTGATATTTTGACCTAAAACATTTTTAAAAATGAGATCAGCTCATCAGTAAACAAATTATATAATTAACAAAAAGTTAAAAAAAATTGTTCAAAGACCAAAATATTAATTCAATCAAGAATATAGATTTATTTTTCCAAATAATATTTTTTAAATAGTTCTTATATAAGTTTACCCTGCGCGCAAGGTGCATGTCTTATCCTAGTAGAAGGTAAAATTGAAAATTTCTCATTTTAAAACTTATTATACATTGGTTGCATTGCATGACTTTGAAATTGTCCAGATTTTCTAATTAACACAAACCCAAAAATGTTTACGATCCTATATATCTCAGATTTGGCCGGTGAATTACTGATGACACTATATTTTTCTATGGAAGCATTTAGTTGATGTAAGCCGTACTTATGATTTAAATATTTATGCAAAGTAATCGTTTTGTTTTAAATCTTAATAAAACCTTTCGGTGAAAGATGCGACTGTCATGACGATGATGTAGCAGATAAGACCAATTCCCATCCGTTGAAGCAAAGTAATGCCCCTTGGATTTCCGGTGAATTTTTGGCTTATCTTGACAAAGACTCGATCATATATGAAAATGGACACAACGAATGAGACTGTTCCAAAGGTGGAGAGACTCGCTGGTGGGATGCTAAAATTTCCGATAATCCTTGCGTCTAGAGTGGTTCCTTGTTTGACAAACAAAGTGTTAACTTGAGCGATCATCGCGCTTGGGACAAAAGTTATGCACATGATAGGTAGCATATTTAGCATTTGTTTTGTTTCTTCGACTTCTGTGGTTGTACAAAGATTCCACTGACCGATTGTCCTGTTTTTAGTGAAGCTCCATCTAAAAACCTGCAATATACCATTAGTTCTCTGTTCAAAAACGCCGGCGCGCCCGGCTAGGCGTAAATCGGCCAACCACCGCCATGATTATGACCGAGGCGGTCCAATTAATCGGTTTACCAAGAAAACGGAGGATTAACCGATTAATCGGATTTTTAACCGATTTTTTCCCGACTAACTTTGGACTGTACGGGCTAATTATGAGCCATTAATTTAAGATATTGTAAGCCCAATTGCAAATTCATACTACAAGTATGTGTGACTATTTATAATGACTTCAACCCTTGCTCTCCTTGGTTTTAACCGATGTGGGACTCTTGTTTGTTGCTTTTAAAATTTTTTGGCCGAAAATTCAATATGACAAAGTAGAGAATCGAACTCTAGTCCTTCTAAATGCACATGACAGGTTTTGTTTATTTAGCATTTGTTTTGTTTCTTCGACTTTTGTGGTTGTACAAAGATTCCACTGACCGATTGTTCCTGTTTTTAGTGAAGCTCTATCTAAAAACCTGCAATATACCATTAGTTCTCTGTTCAAAAACGCTGGCGCGCCCGGCTAGGCGTAAATCGGCCAACCACCGCCACGATTATGACCGAGGCGGTCCAATTAATCGGTTTACCAAGAAAACGGAGGATTAACCGATTAATCGGATTTTTAACCGATTTTTTTCCCGACTAACTTTGGACTGTACGGGCTAATTATGGGCTATAATTTAAGATATTGTAAGCCCAATTGCAAATTCATACTACAAGTATGTGTGACTACTTATAATGACTTCAACCCTTGCTCTCCTTGGTTTTAACCGATGTGGGACTCTTGTTTGTTGCTTTTAAAATTTTTTGGCCGAAAATTCAATATGACAAAGTAGAGAATCGAACTCTGGTCCTTCTAAATGCAACTCAAACTTCGAACAACACTAGCCAACGGCGCACTTTGATGTCTAAACACATCTTGTTGTATATATACACATATTAATAAGAAAAATATAAAAAATTAATCTCCGATTTATTGACTAGGCGCTAGTCCCGAGCCGAGCGCCCGACTAGCGCCTAGCGAGTTCTTAAACATTGCATTAGTTACATCTGCAAAGCTGATCTGATAGATTGAGGATTTTAGACAGTTTAGTAAAAAGGTTAACAAAAAAAATTTGGTTCAATAATTTGGTATGTATATTTTCAAAATTTTGGAGACATAAAGCCAATGTTTCATTTTGTTATGCCCAAAAATGATCCTACTTGTACGTGTTTCAAAAAAAAAAAAATCCTACTTGTACATTATGATATACTTGGAATATACTAAGGATCATTACCTTAAACTTTGAGTGGAACGGATCGGATAGGTGCCTTTCCGCTCATACTTCACTACTCCAGTGAAGGCAGTTCGTGGAAGCATGTGGGGTCACACGGCATTGGTGCTTTAGCTTCGCGAAGTGAAGCCACAATGACTCGAGCCATCGTCAAAAAGGGCTTCCCGTGGGGAGTTTATGGCGGTAAAAAGGAGTGCCCAACAAGAAAACTGAAATGGAAATAGCAAACCCCAAAGTTGGAATCCCGTAACCCCAGGCCCAGCCTACATTATCTTGAACATAGATAAGAATAGTGTTGGCAAATAGAGTACCAAAGAAATTATTAAACATCCATCAATTGAAAAATGGGATTTTTTGTATCTTTTCCAATTGGTCCGACTCGTCAAATTGATCGGCTCCAATTGTTAATATGTTAGGTTTTGTACCATGCTGTACCAATCGCTAATATGTATAGCGCTCCAAAGAAAACTGCTAACTATAGAACCGAAACCTTTTCGCAGTCTTCAGCACTAGCCATAGAACATTCAGGCGGTTTCAGTCCTGGTATAGATACTGATAAAGTTTATACCAACATCCCTTGTAATTAGGAAATTATCAGTAACAGGTTGTTTCCGATCAATCTTTCTCAGGCGTAGCAACAATTCAATCTAAGAAACTTCAACCATTTTGACACTTTAACCACTAATATTCAATGATGACGTAGCAACAATTCAATCTAAGAAACTTCAACCATTTTGACACTTTAACCACTAATATTCAATGATGAGGATTACCATTTTTATGTATACTAGAGTCTCTTACCGCGCATAGCGCAGTTATATATTATAAATTGTAAAAGTTCTGAAAGTACTCTTGTATGAGATTAATTTGAAAATTATTCCTTTATTTTTTTTTTTTGAAAATTCTTGTTATTTACGTAAATTGAATAACTATACAATAGGAAATTTTTTTATTTTCTTTTTAAAAAACACTAATAATATATAGACAATATCTTACTATAGGTTCTCTATTTTCTCATATTGTCCTTTTTCCTATAATTCTTTTCTCGTTATTTTATTTTAATAAAATAAACTCAAATGTTAAGAAAAACTCAAACTCAAGATTCTTCATAATCTAAATTAGAGTATAACAAAAATTTAGGTATGAGATACTGACTTTAGATAGAAGGCTAGATAGATCGTATGCTATGTATGAGGATATGGATTGTGCTTGCAAAGTATATAAACTTTCTTTTAATATAAATTTATAGTTTATTAAGAATAGAGACTCTAAAGTATTTTATTAAATTGCTTATTAGTTTTGAAAAAAAAACATTTCTTAAAATTTCTCTATTTTTTTCATTTGAAACTATTAACATATATCTATCTTAAACATATGTTTATCTATAAACATAATTAACTTAAATTTTAATTTAGTTTTAATTTATTACTTTGAAATCAAATCAGGCTAAAAATATTTTTTAGTATTTTTCAAATTTAAAATCATAAATAAAATATTTTGAAATTTCATTAGTTTTATTAGTTAAATAACTTTCAATACTTTTTCTTTATTTTTTTTTCTAATAAACTTGGAGTAAACTTGTTCATTATCTTATTTTATACCACACATTTTTTCAGATTTCAATCAACTCTAAGCTTTAAGCTAACCCAACAAAAAAATAATCAGCATAAAAGGCAAGGAAAAAACAATAAAAAGTTGCATCGTATAAATAAACTCAAAATTGAGACTATTCATATTATAAATTAGAATATAACAAAAATTTAGTTATAAGATATTGACTTAAAATAGAAGGCTAGATAGATCGTATGCTATGTATGAGGGTATAAATTGTTTATATAAATTTCTGTTTTTTTTATCAAATTTGTGGCTGTAGGTTGTAAATAACATTCATTCTTTCGATAGTTCAATAAATTTGAAATTTCATCAAAAAAATATATTTTTATCTCAAAACATAATTAACTTAAATTTGAATTTATTTTTTTAATTTGTTAGTTTGAAATCAAATCATGATAAAAATATGGGAAATTCTATCAAATAATAATTTTTAAGTTTTTGACACAAAAATAGCCTTAAAAAAATTAAAATGACGAAAATAGCCTATTTTGTTTTGCAATTTGTAATATTTATTTTGATTTTTAAAAATTTGAAATCCTAAACCCAAAACTCCACCCCTTAATTCTAAACCCTAAGTTTAGATTAGTTAAACCATAAGTGCATATTTACCCTTTAATAAAAACTTATTTTGGTCATTTTTCTCATTGAGGTTTATTTTTTTTTGAAAATAAAATAAAAATGGCTATCCAAAGGAATTTCTCTAAAAATATATTCTAAGATATAAGAAGTTTTTTTAAAAAAAAAAGAAAAATAAAGAAAAGTGTTTGTCAAATTTAAAATCATAAATATAGTATTTTAAAAATTTTCCCTTCACTGTTAGGTGTTTTCTTATGCTTCGTTTTTTTTTATTTGGATAAGTATTTATCGTTTAAATAATTAAATATTTTTTTGCTTTATTATTTCTAATAAATTTGTAATAAGTTCATTATCTTATTTTATATCACATATTTCTTTGATAATTACACAAAACTAATAAATGAGTAGCATAATTAACACACTAAATTTAAGGAAGTAGTTTATTTTCATTTTTTTCCTCTCAGTCCTTATTTTTTGTTATTCTCTTTCATGATATAATGTACATTGTTTTTTAAATCTTTTTTTTAGACAAAGTTGTTTTGTAAATATTTTATTAGTTCTCACTTGAAACTTTGAGCAATTTGTACGGAATTGTTAAAGTAAAATTTTAGAAATAAATAAATAGTGTTGCAGCGAGTATTAATTTTTTATATTATTAATCTGAATATGAATTTATAATATATCGCATATGGTTAGCTAATATGAACTCTTAATCTTTATAGATTTGCTTATTTTAGCAATAGGACTAACAACATATGTGTAAGACTAAAATTCTTTTGCTTATGAAAATAATCAAACATTGAAAAAGTCGTAGCAGCAGTGGGAAGCTAAGAATGATCAACATTAAGCCAAGCTTCCCAAGCATCAACGTCCCTGTGTAAAGATAGCATCAAATCCTACATTGACAATTTAGGACAGTATTATTATCTATGTAATCATTGAGCTAAAAAGAATATTACAGTTTTTACACATAACTCACTTATATCTGAACCTGCTAAAAGTCTAGATGATTGAAACCTCCTTCTGCGCAAGACCAGGGTGAAAAAACAATCCAAACGAAACTGGTCTATTTGTGTTATCATCTTCCATACATGAGTTCTCAACAGCGTAGCTTAGGTTATATATGAATCTTAAAATAATAATAAACAAACTCAATACGGTAAAAAGCAACAGGTAGAAATATTTTAATTGTTAATCACTTTAGAAGCAATGCTGGGTCATCTAAAGGAGAACTTGAACAACTTAGGAAGAAGAGAACCGGACTCAAGGAGAAAGAAGAGAAGACAGACAAGGTGATTAGGCAGCTTAAAGAGAAACTGTCATGTGTTGCAGAGAATCTGAAGAAAGTAGAGGAGGAAGCCAAAGAGAAAGAAACGAAGCTGGAAACAGCTGAAGCACATGTCACATCTCTGCAAATGCAGTCTTCGGAGCTCTTGTTCGAGTATGATAGATTGCTAGGAGACAACCAGACTCTACAAAACCATATCATTGGAAAATGAAAACCTGAAACCTGAACTGATATATAAAATTTTTAGAATGTTTGTAAGAGAAGGGATGTTAATATATAGTTAATGCAGAAGTGGTGTTTGGAGTGAGTTCTTGTAACATTTCTTGGTTCTTTACCCATTGATGATGTCTCTAAAATGGTGCATATATGTATACCACAGTTTTATATTGTGTTCAGAAAAAAAAAAATGTATACCACAGTTTATAACATCAGCAAAAAGTCATCTGAACAATGAACTTGCTAAAAAAATTGTAACTTGAGCATTTAAAGGAAAAAACGTTAAGAAAAACCGTCTGTGGGCATCAAACCCATGGCCACGGGATGGAAAGTCACACGCGCTCTACCACTGAGCTAAGATGGCTAGTGAACAATTATTACAAATGTTAAAAAAAAAATATTTTATGTGATGCAACGGAAGTGTGTGTCGTGTGTGCCTTGCGGGCATCTTAAACTCTGAGGAAGCCGATGGAATAAGCCACCGACTGTCTAAATCCAACAACAGACACTTCCCAAATCATGCCGGAGTTTGATCGACAGACAATGATCTTCCAAACCAGGCTTGAAGGGCATCTTCACCACCACCACTGTACTCTTTTCATTCCTTTTGTGTATTATCTTCTGATCTTCTTCATCCCATGATGATCAAAGATTTCCTTCTCTAGTTTTCTTGAAGCGCATCTTCACTTGTTTTCTTTCCTACACTTTTGCATTGTGTCTTAAACTTAGAAACTATTCTCACATACTGGTAGCATTTGTCTCACTATGTTTAACATTACAGATGTCTACGGCCAAAATTCTAACATCTTGAAATGGGCAGCTACAGTAATAAAAAGAATTCGAGAAAAAGAGAGCCAAATCCGGAATCATTTTGATCTTAGTGTAACGACTTCCGGAGACCGTTCAGCTGAGCTTTGAGCCATCAAGTGAAGCGTTTGGATCCCAACGCAAGAAGTATCTTCTTCCTTGGGACCTGAAACAAAAACACAAATTAGATCATATAAAGATGTTGAACAAAATGTTATGAGAGTAGTTGTAGTGGAGGAATTTCATTCTCCCCCCCCCCCCCCAAGTCCCGTCAAATAAAGGAATCGGCCCAAGATCAATCGCCTAGCCTGAATCGATCGATCGATTGACATAACATTATTGAGTCTCGATTACCCCAGGCCCAATCGATTGACCGCAGCTTCTGGGTAGGCCCAAGAATAAAAACCTAATTATCGCGTAAATGGGCTCGAAAGCTCTAGGGCGAACGGAGAAGAAACGAGGGACACTATAAAAAGACGATTAATGGAAAGAGAAAAGGGATCCGAAAACTGAGACAAGAACACTGACAGCAAGATTTAGGGTTTTACTATCGATCGAACCTCTCTGTAATCCATTCGGACTTTCACAAAGCTCCGACCTTTGTTCCTTCCTTGAATCTCTTTGTAATCTCCTATTGTTATCAACTCTGATTAATAAAACGCCTTCGAAGAACCCACAAATCGAGTTTAGTTTTCCAGTCAGTCGACCGTACGAAACTCAGATTCAACAATTGGCGTCCACCGTGGAGCCTTACGAAGTAGCGTTAACGAAATCAGTATGCATCCCGACGATTCCCCCGCCGCCGATGCACCAGTACAAAGACCAGTCGCCGTAACTCCAGCGGTCGACGACATGATGCAGCGCATCATGAACCACCTCGAACGACAGGAGGAAACCAACAGAGTCATAAACGAGCAATTAATCGCGCTCGCTACTGCTCTCGCCGCGACTGACGGTGAAGTCGGCGAAATGGAGACGGCCAAGCGCCGACTCTTTGCTACAACAAATCCGACGCCTGCGGGCGCCGGTCTACCGATTGGCTGAGCAACTCGCGAAACTAACCCCACAGGTCAAACGACCGACGTACTAGACACCACCAAAATCCAGATCGACGAGTTGAGGATGTCGGTGGAGGATATCCACTCTAAGATACACCAAGTCACCACCTCAACCTCAGAGATCGAACGTGTCCTCGCTACCACGCTAAAAAACCCATTCACGAAGCGGATCACGGACACCAAAATCAAAATGATCAACAATCTCCGTCTCCCGACGTACGTCGGCGAGGCGGATCCAACCGACCATGTGATGGCATTCAATATAGTGATGGGGAGCACGAACTTCTCCGACGAGGAGAGGGACGCGAGTTTTTGCCCACTCTTCATCGAAAGCCTCTCCGGACCGGTACTGACTTGGTTTTCGTGACTGACCGAAGGATCAATCGACAATTTCCACGACCTGTCCGTGCAGTTTTTGAAACATTATATTCACTCGTCAAGGAGCGACCTCGGCAGATTTATGGAAGATTTCTCAATCGGCCACCGAAAGTTTCAAAGACTTCATGGAAAAGTTCAAAAAGGTGGTAACACAGATTGAGATTCCCGATCAAACGGCCGTCGAAGCTCTACGAAATTCGTTATGGATACACTCCAAAAGTACATACGACGCGACCAAGTGGTGCAGCTACCACAAAGCGTATGGACACGAGACGAAGGAATGCAACCATCTCAAAAACTTCTTTATGACGAGCTTCGTTGAGAAGCACGCTCATCTCGAACACCCGAAGCAACAGCCCGAGGCACAGGAGTTCACATGCCCTATAACGGTTCCCTCCCCATCGAACTGAAATTGGCGATTGCGAAGTAACTAAATTCCTCATCGACACCGGAAGTCGGTCGACCTCATCTTCAAAGATACTCTTGAAAAAATGGGGATCGATCTCCGCACAATCAAGCCTTCCGCACGATCCCTAACAGGATTCAATGGATCATCAGAAACGATGCTCGGCACCATTCGGTTACGGGTCCACGTTCAAGGCGTGAACAAGAAAGTCAAGTTCTTGATAATCGACGTGAAAACTCCGTAGAACGCGATCCTCGGCACAGCGTGGATCCACGCGATGAAGGCAATTCCATCGACCTACCACCAATGTATCAAGTTTCCTGGTACATACGGCCGAATAATCACCCTCAGCGGCAATCAGGCCACCGCCTGCGACCTCCTTGTTGCGGAGATAAACCTCCGCCGGTCGTCCTCTCATGTGAACGCCATCGCCAAGCCAATTCAAAAGGTCCTTCCCTTCAAGGAGGAGATCCTCGAAATACCCATCGACGGAAACATCCTAAGCAAGACCGTCTGAGCAAGACCGTTGGAACTCAACGACCTCATCCTAAGAAAAGTGTTCGAAAACACCAAAGAATGGAAAGCCGGAAAGCTAGGGACCAACTGGGAAGGGACGTACAAGATAATTGAAGTCGTTAAACCGGGATTCTATCGACTGGAGACGTTCTCTGGCTAACGAGTGCCAAGATCGTGGAACGCCTCAAATATCCGCAAGTATTACTCTTAAGTTGCAACCAGCGACCGAGCGATTAACATCGCAAAAAAAAAAAAAAAAAAAAAAAAAAAAAAAAAAAAAAAAAAAAAAAAAAAAAAAAAAAAAAAAAAAAAAAAAAAAAAAAAAAAAAAAAACTGGAGACCGAGCGACGAGCAACACTTTCGCTCCTTCTCCGGAAGAGCAAATGATCTATCGGTCGGCCAAAAAAAAAAAAAAGGAGACCGATCGACTAGCATCACTTTTCGCTCCTTCTCTGGAAAAGCAAATGATCTATCGGTGGGCCAAAAAAAAAAAAAAAAGGGAAACCGATCGACTAGCAATACTTTCGCTCATTCACTGGAAGAGCACATGATCTATCGGTCGGCCAAAAAAATGGAGACCGATCGACTAGCATCACTTTCGCTCCTTCTCCAAAAGAGCACATGATCTATCGGTCGGTAAAAAATAATTAAAAAAAAAATTAAAAAAAAGTAGACCGATCGACAAGCATCACTTTCGCTCCTTCTCCGGAAGATAAATGATCTATCGGTCGGACAAAAAAAAAAGGAGACCGATCAACTAACATCACTTTCGCTCCTTCTCCGGAAGAGCAAATGATCTATCGGTCGGCCAAATCGAACTATGGGCTTGATCCCTTTCCCTGGGGTACGTAGGTCCAGCTATAAAAAAAAAAAAAAAAAAAAAAAAAAAAAAAAAAAAACAAATGACCTAGCGGTCACTCTTGCTCAACAGCCCAAGCAGACGAGCAAGCACAATTTAGCTATGATCCACCTCCAACCGGGACGGACTGCAAAGGCTTAGCTTCTAAGTCATTTTCATAATGTCCTACCAAAGATTAAGGACCGAAGAACCCATACAGCGTCCCGGCCGATCGATCGTTCACCCCATGTTCCGTCATCCTGTCTAGTCAATACAGAGGCGAATGACCAACACAATCATATGATGTATATGCTGACCAATCGGTCATCCCTTGTCTCATCACTTTTGCTTCACCATCTACAGAGGCAAATGACCAGCATAATCCCACGACGTACAGGCCGCCGACCGACTGACCACTCTGTCACTTTCACCTAATTCGGATGAATACACATCGCTCTCGCTAATCTCCCTCGGTGAAGGCAGCATCAACATTTTCACCCATCCGATCACCCTCTTTGCTCACCATCGAAGTTTGTGGTGGATAACTACTATCAAACTGACACGTCGTCTCTGTCCTAAGCTAAATAAATGCCATCTTTCTAAACTGAATAAAGCACTTACACGGCTTTCACGCAATACAACATGCTGGGTCAGATCAGTTCGGAGCGAATCAGTTCCACCAGTCTCGAAGCATGACTGCACTCGGAGATCGATCAGCTCCCCCAAGTCACTTCCTTTCTAACTTAAGAGGAAGGCACCGCAATGATCTCCTTCAGCATCGGATGAGCGATCGATCGTCACTCTCACTCTGACCACCATTGGTTTTATCATCGGATGGGCGATTGATCGACCCCCAAGTCTTTTTTATTCTTACTTAGGAGGATGGCATCACAACGCTTCATTCCTATATTAGATGGGTGATCGATTTTCACTTTCGCGATAAACACAAACGATCTTGAAAGTGATGATATGGGACAAATATTTCTCCCAGA